AAATCAACAAACCCATCCTGTCCTGGGTTATTTAAAGTTGTAGTCTACAATATTCTTTACTATCCCAGTAGTTTTCAACATGCAGTATACCTTAAACAACTGCCACTCCAAAATTCTCTATCCTGCAGCCACTTGGCAGAAAACATCATTGTTACTGGAGGGAAAAACAAACAATTGATAAAAAAAAAAAAATGCACTGAGGGCACAGAGCCGATCAAATGCCTTCCAGCTGCCAGCCCGCCTCTCGGAGCAGTACCCTCCTGTCCTCTGAATCGGGAGTCAGACTCGCTAGGTTTTGCCACTCATTGTCAGCCTGGAGTAATTGCTTGACCCTTTTGGGTCTCAGTTTCCTTATCAGTAAACAAAGATGAAAGAAACACTGACATCAAAGGGCCATTGGGTGATGTAAGAAAACCCTGGTTCAGGGCCAAAGACTGCAGATGCTAAGTAAGTGTTACTTCTCCCCACTAGTCAGGGAAAGAATCGATTTAAATTCTGCACCCTCATGCAAAATGCAAGTGTGTGCCTTGAGGTGCCTCTGCTGCATGCACCAGGCAGGTGCTGGCTGTCTGGGCCCCAGCAGCCTTGCTGGGATGTGAAGCCTAGTGTGAGAAACTGCTCCAAGGCCTACAGGCTACACCCATCAGCATTAGCTTGCCATTGCTGCTGTGACAAATCACCGCTCTCACAGTTCTGGGGGTCAGGAGTCCACAGCGGGCCTCATGGGGCTGAAGTCAAGGAGTCAGCAGGGCTATGTTCTTTCTGGAGGATCCAGGAGAGAATGTGCTTCCTTGACTTCCCCAGTCTCTAGAGGCCACACACACTCCTTTACCTAGGCCCCTTCTCCATCTTCAAGCCAGCAGCATACCACCTTCCTGTCTCTCCAACTCTGAGAGGCACTCTCCTGCATCTTTCAAGTATGCTTGTGATTACACTGCACCCACCTGGATAACCCAGGGTCACCTTCCCATCGCAAAACCATCCACCTAATCCCATCTGCAAAGTCCCTTTTCCCATGGAACATAACATATTCAACGGGTCTGGGGATTAGTGTGGGGAACCGCTATTCTGCCCACCCTACCCTACATGCTGTATCCTCTGAAACAATCCAGATTTCATATTATTTGATGCTTCTGCATTAAATGCTTGACTTCTTGCATTCATAACGTGTAAGATTTTTCACATAAATAACCCACCCAAAAAGAGTCTTCACTAGAATTTGAGTCTTATACTTAAAGATGAAATGTCATCTCACATGCCCAAACACTGCCTCAGCTGATGCCCCTTGGTGGAGGGAAAGACACAAAGGAAGACAGAGTGGCCTTAGGATGTCTTGTCTTCTCTTTGCCTGTGGTTCCCTTCTCCTGGTACTCACCCCAAATCCCTCAGCCACCCCTGTTCCCATTCTCAAGTCATGGTTAAGACATGCAGACCTGATTCCATCGACCAGGGAAAAACTCTGAGCCAGGGAGATGAGCAGATTAGAAAGCAGCAGTTTGAGAACATCCAGCGGACTTCTGCCTGGACCATCTAGAAATGGTTCTTCTGCCCGCATTCCCAGGAGCAGGGGCTTTGCTTCCCTTCTAAATTGGAGATCAGCTTCAGGCATTCTTTCTCTCAACAAGGATGTAGTGGGCACCTACTCTGGCGAGGTTCCATGTGATAATGATTAAGTTGTCACTAACTAGGGCCCCACAGAGTTCCCAGCCAAATGTTCACACAAACACGTGTCAAATTGCTACTATATGAGAAAGAGCTGTGCCCTGATAGGCTCCAAGAGGGGGTATCTGATGTCTAGTCTGAAAATCAGGGAAAGCTCCCCTGAGGATATGAGACCCCCGTAAGGCTTAATGGAAGAATGAGCTTTGGCTTAATGAAGAAGGCAGAGGACATTCCTGATAAAGATCAGCCTGTGCAAAGGTCCTGTGTCAAGAGAAAGCTCAACAAAAACACTGAGCGCAGGCCACATGACTAGAGAAGGAAGGGGCTGGAGGATGTCAAGATGAAAATGGACAGAGGCAGGGGCCACAGAACTTTCTATGATGGTGGAAATGTTTGTATCTCTACCATCCAGGACAGCAGGCACTGGCCACATGTGGCTATCAGGAACTAAAACATGGCTAGTGCCATTGAGGAAGGGATCCTTTTTTATTTTATTTTCAATCTGACTTTAAGTAGCCACATGAGGCTGTGACTACCATGTTGGACAGGCAGGACCAGAACATTTTAGGGCCTCAGAGAAATGGGAAGCCACTAGAAAGCTCTGAGCAGGACATTTTCATAATCAGAACACTTGGTCACACCTGTTCTGGCTGCAAGGTGGAGGCCTCCCTAGACAATTAGCAACACGGATGCGGGGAAGTAAGTGATGTTGAAGATCATGATGACAACTGGTAGTACTGAGGGACATGTGCACAGATTCTAGAGCAACTCTGGGGGAGAAAATGGGAGATCTTCGTAAAGGATTAGCAACAGAAGGGTTAAGGCTGCAGGCAGGGTGATGCCTGGGTTTCAAAATTCTGCCACTGAAGAACTGGCACATCCATTCTCTGAGCTTGAGAACACCGCAGGAAGGAAGACCAGGCTCGTGGTGGGTCTGGATTTGGCCAGGCTGAAAGGAGTCAAGAGGAAGACAGAGGACTTGATTCCCTAGGAAGGTGGTCACTGAAGCCATGGGCATGGATGACCTCAACCCACAGTTCTAAAGGTAAGGACGTCCAAGACCAAATCTTAGGCACTCACAGCATTTAGCAGTCAGATAAAGATGAGACATGGGAACCCACAGTTCTGTCATGGAAGATACTGCTGACAAACTGTTTCAAAAAACCCATAGGAGACAAGAGAAATGAAAGCATACATCCACATTGTGCTTAGCAGGGTTATTCATAAAGGCCAAAAAATTCTGGAAATAATCGAAATGTCCTTCTTGGTGAATAAACAAAATGTGGTATATAATGAAATTCTATTAAACAATAAAAAGGAATTTCAAAACCATTATGCTGAAAGAAGCCAGACACACAGACAACACAAAGTATGATTCCATCCACATGAAATTTCCAGAAAGCGTAAACTTATAGAAACAGAAAGTGGATCAGTGGTGTGTGGGATTAGCCACAAACAGGCATGAGAGCATTTTTTGGACTGACATAAATTTTCAAAACCTGAATTGTGAGGATGGTTGCACAAACTCTGTTGATTTATTTGTTTAAAATTCAATGAGTTGCGCATTTATAATGGATGTATTTTATGTTATGATACCTCAACAAAGTTGTTTTTAAGAAAAAAAATCGAAGTAAAAGATGTACCTAAATAGTTCTTTCTCAACCTTGTTCATGTGCAAAACTTCCTGGTCCAAATACATTTTTTAAAAAAATCGAAGCACCCTTGTCCAAATTGGCCTCAAAACCCAGAATTGTTATTAAGAAAAGCAAAGTCTCAGTTCGGCCAGAGGCCAAGGTCCTTGCTATCTCTATAGTAGCACACCAGGATGCAACACTTTATGCAGTTCATTTTTCCAGGTTATGATCAGGAAAAAGTAAAGAAATCCATCGTATGTTTAAATTTCCCACCTTCAAAGGAACATTCTGGAGAGCCCCCAAAAGCAGACCTCACACAAAGACCTAATTGTCACCATTAGTGTCAGTATATACATATACTAACATACTGAGTGCTTAGAGCTCTAAATTTTACATGGATTAAGTCTCAAAATAACCCTATGAAGTATATAAAATTACTGTTATTCCCACTTTACAGATGAAAAACTAAGACCTAGAGAAGCAACATAGTTTTCCCAGAGTCCCACAGGCAGCTAGTAAGTGGGGGAGCCTCAGTTTGCAGCCAGCTCACCTCTGGAAGCCTGGCTCCTAGCAACCCTTCTCTGGCGTTCCACAGAGGAGAACTGCCTTCAGATGGAAAGGAAGCACAGAGCGACAGAAAATGGTCTCAGTAATGTGGATCAAATGCCTTGCTTCCTAAAGAAACCTTTGCAATCGTTTTCCCAACATCACAATATGGTAACTTTCTCAAAAGAGAAACGAGCTTTGGGGCCCCGGGATTCCTTCAGCAAATAAACTACATGTCTGCACAACATATGCAGAATGACCCCAGCACCAAACTGCACTCTTGTCTTCCGGGGACTCACAGCGCCTGTTTTTGGTTTTTAACCACAAAATCCCCCAGCCCTCTTACACGTAAGAGTCATTAAGTGAATCGGGTTCAAACCTACCCACTCAACATTATCTCTATAACCTCAAACAAGTTATTTAACATCACTGCATCTTAGTTTGCTTGTCTATAAAATGGGGAAATTAACTCCCCAAACTCACTCAGTCATTATGAGCATTAAAACAGGGCCATTTATCTCTGTGCCCAGCAGAGAGCCTGCTCTCACCACATATTGGTTTGTTCTTGCCTAACTCAGGTCTTCCCCTCTCTATCACTCTGCTTCCACGTGTTTCTAAACACCAAGATTACCACGCTGCTGTGGCTACTCTTAAAACTGCAGACTAAATACGCGAACATACATGCAAATACCTGGCCTCTCTGAATACATGATTTGAATCTGAATGATTATCACTGTTTAGGAAATAAATTAATTCCCAAGTGGCTAATTGTAAGGGAGTATTATCCTCCATTCCAATACCAGAAATCTTTTTAATTGTCTGCACTAAAAGTGATAACAGTAATTATCACTTTTAAATAATTATTTGCATTTTTCTCTCATTCACTGAATCAGAGTTTCTCAACTACGATAGCATATCAAATCATCCAGGGAGCTTCGAAAAAAGTTACCCAGATCCCACCCCAGTATATTTCAAGGGTCTAAAATGGGGCAGGGATGGTAGTGGTTAAACTTTTCAGGTGATTCTAATGCAAAGACGCCTGCACCTGTGGGGCAGGGCTTGCTTAATCTTTGTGCGCCAGTCATCTGGCACAGCCCCAGCACACAGCAGGCATTTGATGTTTGTGGCAAAAATTAATAACTAGACTTTAGAGCCCACTGATCATATCAATTCAATATAATATTTACTGAAGATGTGTATTAACATGCAAGTACTATTCCAGGCGTATAGCTCGAGTTAACTGTCCATCATTCTTTAATCCCTAAGAAGTCCGATTAAAACACAACAGTGAAGGAAGGGGGTGTTGGACTGTCCATCTTCGGGTCAGACGATCCTGAGTTCCATCCCCATTTGCAGCATCTTCCCAGCCTCCTTCAGCTCGCTGGGCTCGTTTCCTCTGTACCACACCGAAGGGGCCTCCGTGAGATTCAAGACAGATCCCACAAAATGGCAGTTGGCATCATTCCTTTTTTTTTTTTTAACCCCAAGGACACCGGACGAAGCCACCCTGGGGGCTCACCCTCCCCACCCCCTGCATCAAGCAACTGATTCTGCAGTAAGGGTGACCATAGGGAAGTGGCTCAGAGGGGACAGGGGGCTAATGGGACCGGCGGTTCAGAGGCCGCAGCCCCGCCCATCTGCCTTCTCAGCCTTCAGGGGACGACATTCTCACCTAAGCGGTCTGGGCAAATGCACATTCCCAGGTTCCCCAACTGGTGGGAATGGGAGGGGGCCAGAGAATCTGCATTTTAACAAGCTCCCCTCACCCTAAGTCTGTCGCAGGCGATGTCACAGCCCCTCAAAATCCTCAACAGGTCATTGCGATCCGCCGAACAAGAAGACAGCAGGGTGCAAAGTATGGACCTGTCCCGTCTCCCAGTAAGGGAACCCACGTCCAGGCCGCCCCGGGGTCGACCAAGGCAAGGCACAGCAGGTGGCAAGCCCTACCCCTACCGCGATCTCCTTCTCTCAGCGCGGGGTGTGGGGCTCGGGGCTCCAGCCGTCCCGGAGGAGCCCCTCCCTTCCTCCCGCAGCTGCTGGTTTGTGTCCTCCCAGGGCCGGGAGGGGAAGGCGCCGCCTCGGGGCTGACACCCGGAGGCGCTGAAGGGGGACCCCGCGGCGGTGTGCGCTGGAGATCGCGCCTGCCCCCCCCGACCCGGATAAGCCGAGCAGACCCCAGCTCGCGAGGGCTGTTCCACGCGCGCACGGCTCGGTTTTAACCCAATGGTAATTCCAGCAGGAATAATCAGGAAACAATGACACGGTGGAAAGGCAGGGCAGCTCCTAATTCCGCGCCCGCGTAAACAGCGCCGGGCGGGCCCGGCTTCTCGGGGTTTCCAAAGGGAGGTGGGCCGGGAAGCGAGGCCACCGGGCGCTCGCTTCCCCGAGGGACGGGGCCTGCCTGGGGCCGGGGCGCCGAGCCTCAGCCCGCCTCCCCGGCCGGCCGCGGCCCCTGGCGCCGCCACCCCGTCAGGCCCGGCCCGGCCGCCCGAGCGCCGGCTCCGGCCGCGCGGACAAAGGGGACGGCGGCCCCGGGCCCCGCTCACCCGGCGCGGGGCCTGCTGTCCATCCGCTTCTTCTGGCGCACCGGCTGCAGCGGGATGTTGTCCGTCATGTCGCCCGCCTTGGCCGCCGCGCCCCCCGCGCCGCTTGGGCCGCCGCCCGGTCCGGCCTCCGCGCCGCCGACCGCAGGCGCCGCGCCGCCCCGGGGGAGGAGGCGGCGGCAGCGGGCGGGCCGGGCCCGCAGCGAGGGGGCGAGCTCGCGAGCGCCGGGCCACGCGCGGAGCCGCCCGCGCGGCCCGACCGACGGACACGGGCGCACCATGGGCCCGGGCTCCGCGCGGCTCCCGCTCGCCCCGCGCCTGCCACGGGAGGCGGCCCGCTGGGTCCGCGCCGCCGCCGCCGCAGTGTCCCCGCCCCCGGCCCGCGCCGCGCGCCCCCCACGCGCGCCCCCCGGCCACGCGCCCCCAGCCCACGCCCCGCGTGCGCGCGCCCGTCCCCCCCGAACCTGCCGCTGACAGTCACCAGCGCACACGCGCACCCGGCTCGCTCCCCGCATCACATACACCCTTTCTCACATGCTTACTCAGGCACCAGGGTGCACATCCTCGCACAAGCCCGACACACAACACACACACACACACACACTCCCACGCATGCTCAACCCGCTCACTCCCCACGAGCATCCGACATTCCTAATCACAGGGGCATCCGTGCACACAGACGTATCCTGCCACCTCCCTCCCTTCAACTGGTACTCAAAATCAAACATGAACACCTGCACACACACCCTGCCGTGCTCACCGCCCCCTCAGCCCCCACCCGCACCCTTTATCACTCTCATGTACCCACCCTGGATCTCAGGCCTCACACACGCGTGCCCCCAGGAATCACAGTCGTTCAGGGACACACACACATACACATACACCTCACTGCACTTTGCAGACTCCCTCCCATCCTCCCCCATCCATGCCCCCATCCTCATCGTCATCCACCCTCACTCCCACCTGGATCCCCAGGCTGCCAGCACACCCTCCATCTCCCTGGACCACCTCTGCGGCTTACACATGGGCCCAATCCATCACAGACACAACCAAACCGATTCACTGTCACACACCTACACTTACTTGCTCACACACTTTCCCACAGTGTTGGGGATCCACCAGCTTCCCAAGGTCCTAATAAAATTTTGAGAACAGAAAGAAATTGTTCAATGGTGAAGGAAGGGAAGTTAAAATACATATGCAATTTAAGAGCCTGAAAATGCAATATAGAAACTAATCTGCTGAACTAAAGCAAGCTTTTCCATCGTTACACTAACATATTATCTGTGGGGTGCAGGTGCTTTTTACTGTTTGCTACGAATAAGGGTGGAGCCACCAAACATCTGTGTCTGGGGCCCTGGGTGAAGGAAGGTGGATCCCAAACCAAGAAGTGTGACTTACCTCATGTCCCTGTTCAGTGCCTGAAGAAGCACGGCACTAGACTTTGCTGCATTGCACCTTTGAAGGGAAGATAGCATTTTGGCGGAGGACCTGATGTGCTTCATTTTTGGCATTCCCTCCTGTATCTACAACAGTACTCAGCACATAGGATGGTATACAGTCAACACTCAATAAACGCTTGTTGAGTGGAGAAAATGTACACACTCAACCCACCAATTAGGGTACCACAGGAGGCCCCACCCTCTCCCACCTGTTCCCCTGATGTGCGTTCTCAAACCCCACCTACCTCAGATCAGCTGCAAACCCCAGACCGTCTTCTCCACTCCACGACCACACAAGGTAACAGAAAAGACCAGAGACTGTTACTCTTTGATCCAGGGAACCACAGAGCTGGGGTTCAGTAAACCTGAGCTTTTGTTTTTATTGAGCACCTAAAATATACATGGAATTCCACATTTAATCTTCCCAACAGCCCTGCCCGCTAAATCTAAATGACCAAACCCATTTTACAGGTGAGGAAATAGAAACTCAGAGTGGCCTGCACACAGCAATGTGGTTGGGAAGAAACTAGGCTGGGCTTCACACTCCGGAAGACAGGAAAACTGGCCTCCTGTGATGAAGTGAAGCAGTTACCAGGACACTTCCAGGATTCCATTTGGAAACCTAATTCCAAACATCTTGAAGCTCCCTCTGGCCCATGTGCAGCCTACCTGTGGGCCACCCTGATAAGACTGTGCCCTCATTTTCTAAAATATGGAATAATAATAGCAGCTCTCTCATCTGAGACCCTAAACACCACTCCCAACTGTAGAACCAGAGACAAATGATAAACTGCTGGCCCTCAGTTTTCTCTTCCGTAAAATGGAGATAGTCCAAGCCTTAAGGATTAAAGAAGTTAATGGTACACATTAACAATTAGAAGAGTGTGTCTACAGAGAGGAAGCACACCATGAGGGTCATTATTAAAGGGTTGGAAGAATTCTGGGCCATGATGGGAACACATAAGGCACTTAGTACAATGCATGCCACATGGTAAATACTCATCAAAGACTAGCTAGTACAATTCTTCCTCCTCCCCCTCCTATGAATATTGCTACAGAAAACTTGAGCAGACGGTACTGAAACTCTGTATATCCACCCCATATTGACACCGGTTTCCCTTATTAAGCTTCTGCATTAGTGTGGTGCATCCAAGTGATTCTTAAAATCTTTGCTTTTTGTTTTAGCTATACTTCCTGCTTTTTCTCTAGTGAACATGTATCACTTTTACAACAATGTGTTTCTTTAAATAAATACATTTTTAGAGACCAAAGAGCTCTCTTAATCTCCAAAGGTAATAACATTTTTATATGAAAAGAGAAGGGTGACTTTTTTTGCCTTTGCATTTTCCAAATTTTCTTTGTTGGAGAAGACACTTTTTAAGACTCCCTTCCAGCAAGGCAATCCCTCAGGAAGAGAGGCGCTTAAAGGCTTTTTTAAAAATCTCATCTGGAGATCCAGATGCTTGCTGGAGATAGGAAGGAGAGAGGCTCCTGGGGCCTGCAGGAGCAGCGCCAGGGCCCAGGGGAGGAGCAGTGCCCGGGCAGCAATGGGATGAGGGGTAAGACCAGTGTCCCCTGGCAAGGCACAGCACCCCTCTTCCTGACCTAGCCCTGCCTTCTCCCATGGTCCTCAGAACAGTTACCTCGGGGTTCTGCTCCTGCTTTCCAAAGAGCAGTCACTTTCAGTGGCCCTTGACAATCCTCTGCTTCCAAAAGATACTGAGCATGTGACCCTCAGATACCTAGAGCAGAAAGGTCTTTTTGACAGGTAAGCCCACCTAGTCCAGCCTCTGCTTTCCAGAAATCAGAGAAACTGAAACCCACAGAGGTCACCCAACCTCGCCAACAGATGGCAGGCCCAGGCCACAACCTATCTCAAGACTCAATGCAGTCCACCATGAAGCCTGACTTTCATACACCTCCATGCTGGCAGCTGCTGCTTATAGAGATGGTGGTAAGCGCCAAGAAGTCAAGGGCGCCAACAGGGACGGACACGGAGCAGGGAAAATGGGAACTCAGATTAATAAAAATGTTTTGGGGTAAACTCAGGCTAGGCAGAGAAGAAATGAAGTTCTTTTGGTACCTGGAACCTTCTCTCTGCATGAATGCTCTAGGTATTCCCCAGAGCACTTTCTCAACCACGGCACCACTGACATTTGGGCTGAGTATTTCTTTACTGTGGCACCGTGCTGGGCATGTAGGGTGCTTAGCGGCATCCCCAGTCTCTAGCCACCACATGCCAGTAGCACCCCCACCTCCTATAGTGTGACAACCACAGATGTCTTCAGACATTGTGAAATGTCCTTAGAGACCCACTGGGCTAGAATGTGATGTTAAATAATCGTTAAACCTCTGGTAAAACTGTCTCTGACACTAATCTCATACTCGCCATCATCCTTTTTTTTGGAAGGAGAGAACCCCTTATGAGTTTTCCACAGGCAACAATATCTAGCTGAGTTAGTAGTATTATTTCATTTGTATGGTAATTCAATTTTTACCTACTAAAAGATAATAGGAAGTTTAGGGAAGACTCCATTGAATATTCAAAAGCGTTCATTCAAGCAGTCTTCACTGAGGACCTACAATGCTTCAGGGACTTGGAATACAGTTAACAGGACAGACACAAGCCCTGTTTTCCAGTGTCTAGGAGGTTCCTGGAGGTTATAAAGGGCCCGAAATGGGCAAGACTGATGTCCAGTCCAGCATACTCTTCCCGATTACCTGTGCCTTTGTCTTTGAGCTATTTTACAATTCTATAAAGGTGTAGAAAACTGATAGTAATACAAATGACTCTTGTCCATAGAAATGCAAATAGACGCTGTGCACTGGAATGCAGCAGATTATTGCCCCGTGGACATTGGCCCTGTTTTGCATCTCTATTTGTAAATTCACTTCAACATTCCTGATTGCCTGCCGTTTGTGAGTTCTTTTCAGTTCTCCTTGTCCTGGATCAGTTGTAAATCTGTTATAGTAAAATCTTTATATTTGTAGGAGTCATGATTTTCCCTTTTTTAAAGAGTACTTTTCAACAGCGTAGACAGAAAATAGGCATGGAAACATTTTAGAGAGCGCAAAATGGCAGGTGGACAATAAAACACGGCAATGTGAAAGAGATGTGTGTTACACTGTAGTCATCTGTATTTGATACAAATAAAAAAGTTGGCAACCCTAAGCCCTTACTTCCTCTTCTCCCCCACCCATTTTTTAAATAATTTCACTGGCCTGTGGAATCCCAAAGATTAGCATTCTTAAATTGCATTATTTTCTTCTCTCCTCTGTGGTCTTCATAAGAGAAAATGAAGATAGACTGAGTCTCTGACACAATTAACTCAGAACACGGGGATCAGTGAAAATTTCTCCCACTGGGATAGCCCAAGAACCACCAGAGTGTCATCAAGCCTTAGTAAATAAAAATACAAAAAACTGATTTATGTGAGGTAAATAGAACAGGAGCTGCTGCTTTTAACACGATACACCTACGGCATTTACCACCGGCTACGGAAGGTCGTTTGTTTCACTGCTTTTAAGGAGCTACAATTATCCCAGGATGGATAAACCTTCCTATCCTTGGCTTCAGGACTTAGTCTTTAGAATACTAGTATTCAACTTCTTCTGCTTAAAACAGTAGGTTGTTTACAAAGGGTTGGAGGGTGGAAATAATGGGGGAGGGAACCAACAGGAAGAAATGCAAGTTAGTTGGGAAATTCATTCTTCTCCCGGAAAGGTC